ATTTTTAATGCTTTATTTAAGAAATAACTTAAAGAAAAAAAAGTATTGAATCAAATTTTGTCATCTGTATAATTAAAGAACAAATCACATTATGACACGTAATAATCATGTTGAAAATTGAATTTTGCAGAAGTGTCGCAATCACACAAATAAATTGTGATTTTTTTACTCTAAGATTGCATATCAATCTTAACATCTTCCAGAGGGTAGCGCCGAAACCATTTCAGGGAATCCCGATTGCTACCGCATGCGGGCGCGTTTAAAGTCGTACTAATTAACACGGCAGCGATTCAAGATGTCGGCCGTACAGTGGGATGGGTCGAGAAGGAGGAAGTCTTAAGGCAGCGTGTTCTCTCCGGGGAGCCAAGTGTTAGGAGAATTAACAGCAACCCCTGATCTTGGCCCTCTATGCTATCTCCCTAATAATAAACTGGTAATTCCCAATGCCCCTATAAGTTACTCCCTTTCAACGCCACAATGACCTACGAGTGCCAAGACGTATTGTCTACCGGGTGTTCGTGATCTGTTCTGTCGTACTCTTCATTCTGCAGGCCATTAGTTGATTGAACAAAAAAAACGAGCCACAAGAATGGCGCGGAGAAACGTCATACTTGTAAGACCGAAAACAATAACAGTTCTTATGTAAAGACTATCGATACGTTTAACAATCTTCCCTCATCATTATGCTTTCTGAACGTGAATTAATTTTTTGAAATATATACACAAATAAATCTTACATCCTTATAAAACAATTTTATAAAATATTACATTTTTGTAAGACACAAGAATACATAGAATATTTTCATCGTCAAATTACTTTTAATCAAAATGCAATTAACATCTTTATTATCTTATAAAATTAATATTGTATTCTAAAAATTGTCTAGATTATTATTCCCCTCGAAATATTAAAGAGTTAAATTACATCAAACAAAACGGAAAATGAAACATAAGAATGTGTTAATAAATATAATTATAATACAAAGAATGTATAATCGACACATAATAAATCGGCACGTTATAGCTGAGACGGTTAACAAATGCTGTTGATTTCTTGAGCAAACAAATTTGCTAAATCTCAACTTTGGTTTACCATAATGAAATATTTATGATCACCGGTTTCGCGTGCGTTCTCTCTTCCGGGCATTTAGCGAAACTTACCCCCTCCGACCGGACGTTAATTCGCACTCTAAATGAATTCATCATGATTTCAGTGCAATGCTCACCCGTTACATCGTTACAAGTTCGGTACATCCTAGAATAGAACGTGCACACTTTCATCATAGACACCCACCACGGCCTGTAAAGTACCGTGCTTTCCGTGGCGGGAAGGGGTGGAAAACGCGAACAAGAGAGACGGAGCGGATGTTGGTTACAGGATAGAGAGAACGAGGGATTGTAAACTTCCAGGAGGAAGCTCAACCTCTCGACGAGAACCAGTTAGATTTATGGCCATAAATTCCTATCCAATAAGAAACGAGATCCATGTATTCTCTAACCATAGATATATATACAAGTACTCAATCTTGTGCAACAAGAATTCTTCGATAATTAAAAAGAGCTTCAAAGATATGCAGCTGCAGAGAAAATTGCGTGCCTCTCGCAAAGAGGTATAAAAGAGAATATGTAACAATATATAAATACAGAAAAGAAATTCTTTTTAAAACAATAATTATGTAACATAACTGCACTATATTCGCCACCCAAGATCGAATACTGCTGTTAATTTCTTTAGAATCTTTACAAGTGCAAGTTAGATAAGATATGTGTAATTGCTCTTATAGTTAATAACTTGAAAAAATGCATACTCTTGTACGTAATAATCATAAATTACGTGCAACGCGTTACAAGTCATATTTAGCATTACATTGGCCATAACTACCATAATAACATCAGTAAATTATATGCGTCCACGCTTGATAAATCTAATTGCTTCTCTGGGAAGAGAGAGACACTAAAAAGCAATGAGAAGCGTCTTATTGCAGGCGAAGGATATGTTCTCCTCTGTATAGTGTGGATATCTGCTACGTAGATTAGGAACGAAGGGAACGGTAACATTGACCGATAAATTTCGCGGCGACTGTCTTACTTGTGTAATTAAACACACAATTTAAACAGACCGTTAGTGTCACCATGGCCGAACCAGAAGGTCTCCTTCCGGCGGGATATCTTTAAGAGCGAGTCTTGCGACGATGATGTACACCGATTTATAGACAAATTACTCAAGTATCGAGTTATTTCGTCAACAACTGGTCTTAGAACGAATATGACACGAATACTTTATGTTTCCTTATTCAAAAAGGATATTTTGAAAAGTAGATTAAATATGATTGTGTTGTTCGTTCGAAAAATAATTTAATTTAGCTTCTGTTTATTTTTTAGATTAATATACTTCAGATTTTTACCAGTTCAATTTAAGAAATAACGCGTTATTGTGGCAATAATTTTCTATAACCTACATATCATGCACCTGAACGGGGGCATGCGTTTTCGTTCTGCATATATACATATAGACGCGCTATCATCCTAATTACGGTATTGTGATGACCCGCGTCGCGTACCAGTCGAACATCTGCGATCCATCGTGACGGATAAATCACCTTGGGACCACCCTCCAATCGCGTCTCGCCCATCGCCTTGCATATAGACAGTTACTAATGAGCCGACCCCATTTAATTAACCGTATATGGTTTCGATGCGACTGTGCCGGACTATTTCCCTTGTTATATATACGCTCGTATTATCGCCGCGCGCATAACCCACGACTATAACGAATTTATTCCAACGCGAAGCGATATTTCATCGCGGCCGCCGCTTTCTTGCGTCGACACATCTGTTCGATTTGTATCGTAGCACGCCACCGCGGGTCTGTAGATGCGAACGTGCGTTTTATTGGTAGTGGTATCCCAGAAACGGAGAGCCTAGCGCGCAATTCATCGTCGGCCGTTATCGGAAAATGAATTGCAAATTACTTCGCATGCACCGAACAATTTGCAGATCTCACCGACATATTTACTCCCGTTTCTTTTTTTTGCACAAAGAGATAATAAACGAGGTCAAACGGCATACTTTTAACCTTTTTCTCTAATGATTGCGAATCTAGTTATAATTATTTTCTGTCCATCGTTATAGGCTTATCAACAAACACTATTTTGCTATGCACATGTACAACAGTCTTCAAATTACCTCGATTGACTTCGATTTTTCAAATATTACTATTATATAGAATAATTCGTGTATAAAATAATATATACGCGAGACATACTTGTAGTAAAAGAAACGTTAGATATATAATTTTAAAAAAATTTAAATTACGTGGAGAGAGGATAAGAGAGAGAAGTACCTTATCATTTACTAAAGACGTACGGAGCATCAGCCTCCGTGGCGCAATCGGCTAGCGCGTTCGGCTGTTAACCGAAAGGTTGGTGGTTCGAGCCCACCCGGGGGCGTTATATTTTGCATATAAATTCTATATATAAATAACATTTTATCATATACGAGTAATAATTATTAAAAACGAATCTTGCATATTTTTTACTCAATTTATTCGAAAACATGGATTTTAATTAATAAAAAATTGATGAATGAGAAATCTAACTTGCTACGTATCAAAGTTTGTTGTTACATAATAAAATTGTTATAGATTAACCAAAATTGAAAAAAGTTTATAACGAAATCGTTTTAGAATTTGTACTTAAAAGCACAATTCATACTTAAAGAATTCGAAAGTTAGATTGGCCACTTGATAAATTGTATTCTATCTATTTTATACAATTTACTTTACATATAATTCGTTGATATTATTTAATAAAAGATAATATAACTTAACCGTTACTCGCAAACGTGTATTACTTTTGCAATCATATATATTATCTTTTTATATTTGTCATATTATATAAATGATAACTTCTTTCGACAGAGATCGCGCCATGTATAACGCGAAAAATATTCAACGCATACAACAAACGGAAGTAATTTAAGCGTCACATAAATTACGATTCAATTTGAAAACGAAAGTGCAGAGTACGTCGAAATTTCCCAGATACTCTGATAAAGTGTAGATCACTCACCTTTCTCCAACGGCGCCGTGGCTTAGTTGGTTAAAGCGCCTGTCTAGTAAACAGGAGATCGAGGGTTCGAATCCCTCCGGGGCCTGGAAGCAAAAATTATGATTTGCTTTTTTTTTTCTCTCGATCTTCTATAAATGCGTGCGCTGCGACATTAAAAATCGAAATAAATTTATTTCGCTCATCTAATATTTATATACACGCGCGTTAATATATTCAAGCGTATTTTAATTAATTTTTTATTACGAGAATAATAAATTATTAATTTGTAATAATACAAAATATCATAATAAGTAAAAATATTAGTGGCGAGTTATAATACATAATTGATAGACAAACAGACGTAATTAATCAACGATGTCGGCCGCCGACGACCGTTGTAATGAATGCATTAAATATTTGTCGCGATTAACGTCTGACCTTTTCACTTTAGTAAAACCGACATCCGTTCCGTTACGTTTTCGTAACAAATAAACGCTAGCCATCAGCGATACATTACTTTCGAACAACGAAAATGCGACTGATATATGCTGGCGATAAGTTGAAAATAATTGGCATAAGGACAATCGCTTACCGGCGTCGTCTCGATCTCACAGTCCAACGGAGCTCAGCTCTCAACTCCATTTTGACCCGAGACTGCCCGTACGCGAAATCACTCGCGACCGCGTTCCGAATTCCGAATCGAAAATCTCGCGGTTAAACCGGCCGAGTCACGGATCGATAACCGTCTCGCGCGGCGGCCGCGCTTGCTAGCACCACGACGGCACGACGGTGCTCGCGATCGACGATTCTGTTCGACATTTGTGAAGAATTGCGCGAAATTGCGTCGCCGCCGTTCGAATAAAAAACCTCGCGGTGAGAGAACGTTTGCCGGATCGGACGCCGTCGGTGGCCGGGACGTCGCGCCGCCTCACGCCGCCTCGCGATCAACGGTCGTTTCGAAAAACAAGTACGGCCCGAAGTTCGCCGCGTAAGCGGCAGCAGCAGCAGCCGTGTGGCGGCGCGGCTTCGACGGAGTTCAACGTCGTTGGTGTTCCGAAGCGCGCGCGTTTACCGCCATAACCTCGCGCCTCGGTGCCGTCGCGGTCCAGCTACGCGCTCGAACGAAGGATGTCGTCGTGCACGGACTTGTTGCGCCTGAACGAGAAGGGCCTGTTCAAGGATATCAAGGCGAGCCTGTCGAGCGGCGCCAAGGAGACGCGGAACATCCTCGAGATTCGCGACAACGTGCTGTACGTGTGGAACGCCGACAGGTGTTGCGTGCTCACGCTCAACGTCGCGGCGACCCGCGGCAAGCTCGGCGAGGACATCCCTTATCAGGTAAGAGAGTGTGCCGTTGTGTGCGCATATTTCACGCCCGCGAATCAATCGTCGGAGGAATCTTTCTCGATCGGATGTAGATAGCCGAGAGCGGCGTCGTCGAATTTGCGCGTTGCGTCGCGCGACCAAACCTAACCTCGACGACGCGCCGGCCGCGTCGGCTGCTAACGCGTGCGCCCGGCGCCGCTTCGCCGTGTGCCGTGTGTGTTGCGTCCTGGAATCTCGGGATGGCACATCAGCTGCCTCCGGACGCGGGACTGCCGTTATTCGCGACGAGACATTCGTCGATATTTGACAAATTGAATAGGAAAGTGTATTGAATTGAGATCGTCACTGCGAATGATGAATTGTATTACGGAATTATATAAGACGTATCGATCTGTGGTATTCGGGTTATGTAACGTTTATTTAAGGACAGAACAAAACAATGATATGATGAGATAATTAAAGAGTACGTAAGATTCGTTGATTGCCACGAACTATATCTGTTGCTCCATAAAGTGTAAGGAATACTTTTATTATTATTATTATTATTATTATTATTATTTATTTATTTATTTATTTATTTATTTATTTATTTATTTATTATTATTATTATTAATTGTAGCGAAGTAAAATGACTGCAATTTGTTTATATACATATGAAAATAATCATTCTACAGCCAAGGAAAGCACTAACTTATTTTATTTTATTTCTTTTAAGTAAGTTTTCTTACAACAAAGAATATTTTCTTACTAGTAGTTTTCAAATATCTTGACATAAGTCTTGGAAAAGCCGGAATATTGTTTTGAGTAAATGTAATATTTACAATGACTTTATGGTAGATTTGCGAATATATAACCTTATCAAATACTTAATCCGCAAATCTACCATAAAGTCATTGTAAGTATTACATTTACTCAAAACAATATTCTGGCTTTTTAGAGACTTGTATCAAGATATTTGAAAACTATTAGTAAGAAAATATTCTTTGTTGTAAGAAAACTTACTTAAAAGAAATAAAATGAAATAAGTAAGTGCTTTCCTTGGCTGTAGAATGATTATTTTTCTCTGTGTAATGTGTAAGTCATGGAATAGTAAAACATGTAAAACTTTTTATGTATTATACATATATACATATAGATATAAATTTTACAAAATTACATATTAATCTACAAAAATTGATATTTATGTATCTGATACAAAACACGATAAGTATTTTTTGGTAAATACATTATAAAATCATGATCAAATAATTAGAAGAGAAATTAACATTTTAGATTTTATTTTCTTAAAAAGAAAGCTAGATTTTGAATGCACCTATGATTCTTTTTAATGTTTTTAATACATCACGATAGTTTAATGAGGTATATATCAGATAACATAAGTATATATCTGCGACCGAAAAAAAATGGAAAAAGAAATTCGAAAAGGCGCGACGAAAATTTGTTTCCCTGAAGCATTTGGAAACTTAAGGGTACCGGCGCACTTGCGGGAAATGATTGCGCTAAATGAAAGAGAAGCGGCGGAATCGCGGTGAGAATTGGTCAAGCGGTACATTTCGCTCTCGCTGTGTGGCCGCTGGTGCTTTTATTTCATTTCAATGGCACCGCGGGATCAGCGGGCACGTTAATGCCTCGGCGCGCGAACGCAAAAGAGCGGCGAGGGGATAATTTATAGGAAATGGGTTGTTCGACGCTCCGGAGTAATTTAATTAAAATAAATGTCCGCGCCGCGGAGGAGCGTTACCCGCACGGACGGACCCGCGGTTCCACGGCTGCGAATAAAATGCAAATTCATACCCTTCATCGGGGAGAGGGTCGCGTATGTATATGCGTATAGGTATAGATAAAAGGTGCCCACGAGAGGGCGGCGAGAGAGTAAGTGCGGACGGAGGGTCCGACGGGTCTCTCCGTCCCGATCGTCGCCCGTTCATCCGTTGATTCGATAAGACCTCGCTTCGGTTAATTTCACTCAGCTGTCGCTTTAATAACGCGACCTAACATTTCAACGTTTTATCTTCACGGCGATATGTCGCGATTTAAACGTCCTCGATCGACATCAGGAATCATCTTGAAATTCTTATCTTGACGTTGTTCTCTCCACATTTATCGTGATACACTTGCGAATTAAATGACGCGGAAAAGGCTGGTAAGACGCGTATATGTATTAATATAAAACTGCGATAATTTCATGATTCTAACGAGCTGATACGCGGGATGTATGACAGATCGGACGATCCTCTAATCAGTCTAATCTTTTCTCAGCGATTCCGCGGAGGCGTCGATTACGGTTAATAAACGTGACGTCGCGTCGCGGGGGGTGGCGACTACTTTGCGCTCGCTCGCGCTACCGGGCGCTACGCGCTCGGGCCTGGCTGAAATATCGGTCGTAAATAATAAAAGTTAGCGAGGTTCCTCTCTGGCGCGCACGCCGGGACTTTAAACCGGAAGATAGGTGTCGCAGGATACGGACGAGGGAGGCGGTCGCGGCAAAAGTGGCGGCGGTTCGGGGGATGGTGGTGCGGCATGGGACGGAGACAAAGACGCGCCATTGTCAACCGCTCCGCCATCGGAACCGCCATCCGCCGCGGGAAACTTTGAATCATTTTTATTGCATAGAGTTATCTTTGTTACCAGCGGAACGAACGTCTAAACGTGTCTTCTCTCTCTCTCTCTCTCTTTCTCACTCTCTTGCGCACACACAGCTTCTCTTTCTCTCCCTCCCGCCTGGGCTATCTCTTTCCTCCTCTCGCGCCTTTCGCCAGGTCATTCCCAGCCCTCGTCCTTCGTCCTCGCCTTCCTGCCGGTTACGCTCTCTTTCCCTTTTTGCCCCCCTCCCTCCCTCGTCTCCCCGTCTCTGCGACGGCCGGGCCGGGAGATAATACGAACGCGAAAGCGTTCACACCCCTTTGGCTGCCCAAATGGAATAAGTTCTTTAATTCGCGGATTTACCGCCGGGCAAACGAATCGCCCGCGCTGTCGCCGAGATAATATTCGGCGGACGAAAGAGGGCCGCTTCTTGGCCGAACTTTTCATTCGCGATGTGTCCATCTCAAGGATCTCGGTACTCACCGAAAAGTAAACGAATTTTGTGGAGCGTTAAGTTGCTCAGAGTTCATCTAAAACGATTTAACATGCTACGCAAGGTTCAATATTTATCAAGTAATGAACGAAGTGTCCATAGAAAAAGCTTTTGTATAAAGATGTTTTGAAGTATTATATTTTTAACATATCATTATTTATTAATATTTCAAACAATTTTTTATATCGGTGATTGCCGAAAGATAACTATAAATATTAGATTTAAAAAAATATCCGAAATTAAAATTTAACTTTTGCGAATCGGAATATCGCATAACGCGGCTTTGCTCGTGTTATCATCTGTGATCCTTTATGCTATCTTTTTCATACTATCTGCTCTGATTATAAACACGAAACGCAGACGGTCACAATCGTGCCAAGGTAAGAATTACTTCGATTCGGGAGCATGGCGCGACCTACGGCCAGCGGCCTACGTGAGGCTTTCTATATGCCTCGCGACGTATAAAAGGGACAATCTTATCTAAATTAAAAGTGCCGGACCCGGCACGAGACGGTCGAGGGTCAGCGGCGCGAGCAAAATAGAAAATTTCGGGCGAATTCCTGCCTCCGCCACCGACCACCGCCGGCCACCAGCCGCCTCCGTCTCAGAAGCGGAACGGAATATCGCGTAATAAGCGAAATCCTCTCGACGATAATTAAAAAGTAATTTTACGGTGACATTTGTAACTACGGGCCCGCCTACCCGCCGTCGGTGGTAAATACACGTGCAGCCGCACGTTCCGTGTGTACACAAGCAATAACTACGACGTACGGGACCTTCGTGCGTGTCCGTGCGTTCGGTGGTGTGCGCCCGCGTACGTCTGAATGTTCCCGCGGTCAGATTCACGCCCGAGCGTATAAGCAAACGCGGAGGGGTTGAAGGGGAGTGGTGGCGGATCCCGGCGGTTCCTGGCCTGGGTGTAGGTAGGTTAGGTTCCGCGTCGTGCACGTGGAGGTATACGAGGAGAGGTACCTAGAGCAATAAAATTCACGGGAAGTGTTTTACATCGGGTGGCGCGCGTAGCTTTCTCTTTCTCTCTCTCTCTCTCTCTCTTTCTCCGTTTCTCTCCCCCTTTTTGCGTACGCTGGATATGGCGGGGATATGGAAGCGCGAGGGAGGCTCGACGAATTCAGTAAGTGGCGGACAATGGCTTTTGTGGTAGACATCGGCCGTCCCCCGCGTCCCTCTTCTCAGCATTCGTATTTCGTTCCACCACCGGTACGGATACATTTTCCTTTCCATGTTCCCTTCGTTTCTCTCTCCCCCTCTTATCCCCGACACTGCTCGAACACTTGAAACGTCATTTCAGAGATGCGGAAAAAGCGGTAACCCTACGCGAACTGGCGCAATCTCTCTCTCTTTCTTTCTCTTTTGACTCATTTATTTATTAATAGGGATATATACGCACCCTTGAAAGCATTACGTTGAAGAGATAATCACTTCGTTGCCACGAAATGTCAGTTGGTATGTTCACTTATATCCCGATCAAAATAATGTATGTAGCTATGACCATTATGCAATGCAGAATATATGTTGAATATAGTGAAAAATGTTTTATAATTATTTGTTATTGTAGCCGAAATTTTTCTTTAATTTTGTTTTTTCTTAATTAACTTTGCGTGATTTCCGTTTTAATAGAAAGAATTTAAGATTCTTAAAAAGGTATATTTCATATGGAAGATTATTATTTTTTTAAGACAAGGTTAATTACAATTACAAATTTATCAAAAAGATTGTCGAGAGAAAGTGATGTTAACAACTCTAACGACATGCGCAGTGAATTAATTACGCGCGACACGACTCTAGATACGCTGGTCGTAAAAATAGTTCGACATCAGAAACGGAGTTTAATGAATCGTCAAAGGACCGCTTAAACCGGCATCGCCGATGTTATTGGACGTCCAAGACGGAAGCGAGCCGCCATAGAACATCCAAT